TTATACCAAAAAAAAAAATCGGAAAAGGAAAATATTTATTATAATATTGATATATTTAAGATGATAATGTCAAATATCCGAAAATTATTAATCGGAGCATTAATATAAACATAAAAGAATACTATTCTAACCTTACTCAAATTAATAAGATTTAGATAACCGAAATTAATCGTAAACGGTAATTAATTGTTAAACTAATTAAAATAAAGATCAAACGTACCGGAATAGATGAAATTTTTGGTATGATCGTCGTGTTCGTAGTCAAAAAAAATAATATGTAGATCAATGAAAGAGAACCCACCAATTTAGAAACGGTTATCACGCCATCGTATTGTTCGTCGGATGATTATAAGTCTCTAATCTGGAGATTGACTTGAACCCTGACAAAAACATATATTCATAGCATAAAATCGTAAATAGAAGGTAGAAGACCACCTATTAATCGGTTGTAACCTTGTGCAAACTCGATTTAATTTTGACGAATGAAATGTTGGTGTGGTGTCAAAACTTTCTTGGGGAGACTCGAAGATGAGAGAGCTGAAGTCAGAGATAGGCAGAGAGGTTTACATGTGAATTAGGTATGGAGTGCTAACGTGAACATGAACGTGAACGGCGGTGATTTTTGCACATAATAGCAATTAGATCGAGTTTTGGAAAAAAATATGGATCAGCGTGACATGACGCATATGGATACCATGCATGTCTATCTATTGTAAATCAAAAATTATATTATTGTTCCGCCTTATTTTTGAAACAGAAAGGAATTTTCCCTTAAATTTTAATATATTTTATAAGATAGTATCAGATATAGTAGTAAATCTAAAATAGTTGTTATTATTCCATATTTTTACCGAAAAAAGTAAATATTATTTTAAATAAACATGGATAACAATGAATAAATGGCAGTTTTACAAATATTTATTATTATGATAGTGATTTGCTTACTAAAATATGTAAATTTTCTTTTCTTTTTTTGTATTTATCGTCGAAAAATTTAGAAACTCTAAATCATGCACCGCCTCCTATTCAATATAAATACCTTGCTCATGGTATTCAATTTCAGATCATAACTAACCCTTGTTTTTTTGTTCTTTTTTTTTCAAACTTTTTTTTGCTTCTACCTAATTTTTCTTTTTCTTTTTATTGTAGGGTGGATGTATGGAGGGGACGATGTGAACTGGTGTATGGAAAATTTGGACCTAATTCAATGAATAAACAGGTGATCTTATAATTTATATGTACAAATTTGATTTTTTTTTTTTTGTATTTATGGTTTCACTATTTTCACCACTAATCAATTTTTATAATCAAAAAGTTTGGTTTCAACTTTTGAGAAGGTAATCATCGATGGTTTGGTATGTTTCTTTTTGTTGTAAAAAGATGAGGTACCTCCCGATTTTGTTGAGGTACATGTTCTTATTATTTTCAAATATGTCTTTTCTCAGAAGAAACACTCAACTTTTGATAACACAGTTGCCACAAAGTCAGAAAGATGACTTATTTCAGGGATGAATCTTCAGAGGAGGCTAATTTTTGTCGTTAATACAATTTAAGTATTCCTCTCTTTAGATTAGGGATAACAAACTTGGCTGTTAAATTCAGGAATTACTCTTCGTTGCCAATCTCTCTCCCCAAACTAAAATATTACATATATGGAAGTAGTAACTTAAAGTTTTTGGTATCGAGGTCATTCTAAGGCACTGAGATTCGGACTTTGGTATGTATAGGATTCGTTTTCCATGCACTAAGATTTAATTATTGTTTAATTTATTGATTTTTAGGTTTCTTTCCATGCTCTGATGCGTTTTCGGGTGTGCCAATGGAAGCTTGCATCACTCTTTACTCCAAGCGTAAGTATGCTCTGCATTAGCTTCTTCTGTTCCATTGGTTATTATGGGTTTTGACTTTTGAGAAATATACAACAATTTAAAACCAAGTTTTGTTGTTGATTAGTTCGGTTTGTATACCATATTTTGCTAAATACATATGACCATAAATAAGACCAAAGGAGCTGGGTTAGCTCCTTTGCCAGCTATATATATCCCAGAATTTTTTTTTGTTTGTTAATAGAGAGAACCCACCAATTTTGTAGCGTTGATTGTGACATCGAATTGTTTGTCGGATGAATATAAGTCTCTAATCCGGAGACTGAAGTTGAACCCTAACAAAAACATATATTCATAGCATAAAATTCATAAATAAAGGTAGAACATCACATAGCTTTTTCTTCAAAGCTAACACATCTCTCTTTGTAGCCGAATTACTCTCCAGTTTGGTATATACTCAAATTTTCCAATGACTTCCTTCTCGAACCTGGAGCGTTTTTGCTTTGCCGGATATTTTTAGGATATGGCTCTTATGTATCTCTTGTGAGTCACTTGATATGTTGTTTAGGTAAAACTTTTGGTTTGAAAGAGAATGATCTACGACAAGCATAATCGGTTATTTGTTATATATGTGGCCATGTTCATATTGCTTTCTCCACAAGCAATTTTCCAGTTTTGTAGCATTCGATATTTAAATTTAAAAGCTTCAATACGTTGTATACATGTGTATGTATGTACATATATGAATTATTCTCAGTTGCACATAGTGGTTTCTAAGGGATAGATACTTGCTCTCTGTAATCCTCTCATTTTTAGTACCTATCTTCAGTGTTTACTTTGCTAAGAGCTTCTTGATAGGCATACATCTTTGCAATCTCAGATCAATATACTACAAATACATATACGATACAGTTAAGAAAATGATATTTCTCTTACAACTTTTTATATGGGTTTTATAAACAAGAGATCAACTGAAGGGTTACGCAGCGACCAATGGCAAAGGTAGAGACAAAGATACTACAATAGGGACGATAAATATGACACGATATATACAAAAGAGATGCCTGTTTCTATACCATTGAAATTTTACGTACATAACTAATTCAAAGAGCAAGATGACTTACTTGATAGGTAAGAGATATGGTAAGAGATTATATTTTTCAATTATTTGTTTCCAACTACGAAAAACTCCAGTGACATACAATCTAAAAGCATGAATATGTCATAAAATCAAGAATACAACAAAAACCAGGAAGATGGGCCCAAATTAAAGTCCGAAACTGGACGTGGGGAACCCACAGACAGTGGCGGTCGGAGCGTTACAAATATGAAAGAAACGAGGAAGCGTGAATATGTCATAAAACCAAGAGTACTACAAAACCAAGAAGATGTGCTCAAAGAACGAAACTGGACGTGGGAACCCACAGACAGTGGCGGTCGTGGCATTACAAATATGAAACAAACGAGTAAGCATGAATATGTCATAAAATCAAGAGTACGACAAAACAAAGAAGATGGGCCTAAAGACCGAAACTGGACGTGGGGAGCCCACGGACAGTGGCGGTCGGGGCGTTGCTAATATGAAAGAAACGAGTAAGCATGAATATGTCATAAAATCAAGAGTACGACAAAACAAAGAAGATGGGCCTAAAGACCGAGACTGGACGTGGGAACCCATGGACAGTGGCGGTCGGGGCGTTGCTAATATATTGTTGGTTTAAATATATAGATTTTTTATATTTAATTCTATTATATATATCAAGATATAAACACTAATAATTGTTTGTGATTCAAAAACACTATTAATTGTTGATTACTAATAATATATATCAAAAGTTATAGCGTTTTACCATAATTCTATATTAATGTCGTTATAAAAATTAGACTCTTGACAAAATTAATTCAATAAATATCCCTAACTTGATAACCCAAAATATTAATTATTAATTCTGGTCTTAATCAACATACAACCCCGCGCTGGGCGCGGGGACCTCCCCTAGTTTCAATTTTTAAAAGATGTACTGTATTAAAAATTAACTTGGGATGGAGACGTACGATGAGTGGGTGAAGGAAATGAGAGAGATAAAAGAAGAATGATCAAAATAAGTAAGTGCTATTATAAATACAGCCAACCCCTTTCTCTCTTCTTCTTGGACACACACAAACACAGACACAAGCACACGCACACGCACACGCACGAGTGAGTGAGTGAGAGATGTTTGCCGTGGAGAATGGGTTGCAGGGAGACCCAAGATTAAAGGCCATCTCCGACGCCATTCGTGTCATTCCTCACTTCCCCAAGACTGGTCCATTTTTGCTTCTTGCTTTCTTTCTTTTTTTACCTTTTGTTTTTCTTTTCGCTTACAAATTAACTAAACGACGACTTAAGAGTACTGTGTTTGTGTTGCAGGGATCATGTTTCAGGACATAACAACTTTGTTGCTGGATCCAGTTGCCTTCAAACATGTCGTTGATATCTTCGTTGATCGTTACGAGCACATGAACATCTCTCTCGTCGCCGGTTCCTTTCACTTTCCTTTCTTTAAACCGTCTGTTTTTTTTTTTTTTTTTTAAGTCGCTATTTAGTTTTTGCCAAAGACACACACGAACAAGACCAGCAAATTATGAATTCAGCTTGAAAGGCAACGTATTTCTCTATTAATTCCTGATTTTTTACGATATCCTTATGAGAGCATTCGGCTTGAAAGACACCTCACACATGTAGATTATTAAATTGTAATCTATACGACAGAATAGTCTCAAATTCCTTTATGATAGAATCCGAGGCGTAATAATCATATCACCCAATTTGATGAAAAGATTAAATAAACAATAATAGACAACTTTTTTGGTTTAATGATTTTACACTCACATACTAGTTTCTCTAGTGTGGTTGGTATCTAATTACTTATCCCTTTATATCTTTGTTATTGTCGTTAATTAGTCTGCCTCTAGTTTTTTTTGTCTTCTAGTGACCCTTTTAGGAATTTAGTTAGAAGTGACTAAGAATTGCTAAAACATAAATTGATGTACGCAGGAGTAGAGGCGAGAGGATTCATATTTGGACCTCCCATCGCGTTAGCCATAGGTGCCAAGTTCATTCCACTGCGCAAACCGGGAAAACTACCCGGTACAATTACTTATATATACATACAGATAAAATCTCAGATAAAAAAACGAACGTGTTGTATTGGTGTTAATTATATGAAAAGAGAAGTAGTGTGATAATTGGTTGTGGTGTTAATTAAAAGGGAAAGTGATAAGCGAAGAGTACGAGCTTGAGTATGGAAGAGATCGTCTAGAGATGAGTGTGGAGGCTGTCAAATCCGACGAAAGAGCTCTCGTCATCGACGATTTAGTTGCCACTGGTGGGACACTCTCTGCTTCCATTAGCCTCTTGGGTAAATAACATCTTTCTACTTTTATTAGACAATGAATACTAATGCTAAACAAGATGATGATTTATATAATACGCCTTTTAAAAAGGTTTAGTATATCGAGTATTATTAGACTAATTATGAGTCTATATGAAATTTAGAGCGCGCCGGGGCCGAAGTTGTAGAGTGTGCATGCGTTGTTGGTTTGCCTAAGTTTAAGGTAGTAGAGTAGTACTCTTTTAATTAAGTTCGAACCAATAATATTTTGGGATTTAACGGGGTCTTGTTATAGGCCCATACATTGAAGATACTAAAATAACTCGTTTCCGCCGTGCTATGCAGGGGCAATGTAAGCTGAAGGGAAAGCCGTTGTACGTTCTGGTGGAGCCAAGCCAGTTTGATGAATTAACAACCTTATAAGCAAGCGTTTTTCTATTCGGTCGTCGATGTAATGATTTTGTAACTAGGGATTGAATGATTATATTCTCTAATATAGTCTCGGCTCCATGTGGAATGAATGATTTATGCTGCCTAGTTACAATCTAAAATGAAGCTGGCCTTAGTTCAAAGTTTGTTGTTTTAACATCTCATCTAAAAATAAGTGAAAGTTGGAATTTATCATGCGACACTGTTCTTTAGATAAAGTCAAGTCGATTTTCAAGTGATTTGAAAAATACGTAACATGGGGCATAATTTTCATCGATCGTATAACTTAACCAAGGGGCACAAAAGGAATTAAATAGATAAAACAATATTTTGAAAAAAGAAAAAAACGTTTCACGCGCAACGCAACGCGCCCATGTGAATAAGAAAAGTACGAGAAAGCCCCTGCCGCTTGAAGTTTGTTGTATATAAAAAAGCCTGACCTGACCTTTAGTTAAAGAAAAAGGAAAACCCATCGAAAACCTAAAACCCGATTAGATTTTTAGATACGAAACCTCTTCTCCTTCCTCAATCTCTCTCGATCGTCGGAGATTTTATTTGTCCCCTTGAAGAGTCTTCTTCTCCCAAACCCTATTTTATTCATCGCGTTTGTGGTTTTCTCAGCCAGCCATGTCTGCCGTGTATTGCGGAACCAAGAGATCTTACTTCGACGATATTCCTTCTCCGCCCTCTTCTAAGAGGTTCCGATGTTTTTCGCCTTCCAATTCTCCAATCTGGTCCTCTCCCTCTCCTTCCTCATCGCTCGATCAGCTTCGCACTTCGTTTCCTCATCTTGAACTCACGGTAGGCCTTGTTCTATTCAATCCACACAGATCTAGCTTTACCTGCTTGTACTAGAAATCTCTCTGACTAGGCATTTTTCGGACTCGAATTACGCATGTCGATATCTCTCTTCTTCTTCTTCACCGCCTGTAAATTGAGTTTTCGCTCATCGAATTTCCATGTCTCGGTTGCACAGGTTCTTTATGTGAGATTGGTTTCAAGTAAATTTTGACCTCTACAGTAGCTTGGTTTTCTTGTTCCTGAGAAATTTTATCTAGATTTGGGTGTCTTTCACAGGTTCTTGTCAAGGCACTAGAAGATAATGGAAGTGATTTGAATGCTGCTATGAAGAGCTTATACTCCATGGCAGCCGCTGAGGAGAAAGAAGCTGAAGAATCCTCCGCAGGAGGTGCTAATCAGGAAACTGATGCCGTTTCTGGTGGTAATCCCCCGACCAGTGGTGATGACTGGGTTGAATTGTTAGTGAGGGAAGTGTTACAATCTTCTGGTACAGATGATGCAAAAGTACGTGCAGCAAGAGTCCTTGAGGCCTTAGAGAAGATGTTAAGTGCACGTGCTCGTGAAGAAGCTGGAAAAAAATTCCAAGAGGTAAACCATTGTACCCGCGCTAAGTCCTTCCTTCTTTTTAATGTCTTCCATTCAAAATATATATTCTTACATATGCACCTTCGTTTGTGCATACATACTGGGTATCAGACCATGAATAGTGATGATCAGATTGTTCTTTGTGTTCAGGGTTGCTCTAGGACATAGGTTGAACCATTAGTTACTTCTTATGTAGGTTCATATGTCGTCATTGATTACAAGTCTGTTGGCTCTAAACACAATTATGTCATTGAGGAATCAACTGTGAAAGGACAATCATCCTCCATTTGATTTGTCAAAACTATGATATCTATGAAATTAAGAGTGTTTTTTTTTTCAATGGGAGGAAATAAAGTTATCATAAAGTAGATAATTCTTGGCATCTCTTGTATCAAAATAACGCCTCTTCTGATTCACAGGAGAAAGTGGCAGTGCAGCAACAGGTGGAGGCCTTGGTCAAGGACAACACAGTCCTAAAACGTGCTGTTGCTATCCAGCATGAGCGGCAGAAGGCATTCGAAGATGCGAACCAGCAGCTAGAACTTTTGAAGCAACTGATTCCTCAGTACCAGGAAAAGCTAAGAACTCTGGAGGTAAGCCTTAGACCATTAGAGAGGTTCTAAGTATCTCTTGCTATTGCCTTGAATGTTGTGGTGACGTAAAAGCAGATGTTGTTATAATTTGATGATGCATCATAAAAGAAAGAGAGAATGAAAAAATGCAGGTGAGCAACTACGCGTTGAGAATGCAGCTGCAGCAAGTGGAACATGGCAACTCCATGCCAGGAAGATTCAATCCGGACGTCTTCTAAGGCTCTCCAAGAAACAAGGACACTTGCAGGAGAAGGCAATAAACGAAAGTAGAGGGAGAGAAAGAGAGAGAGAGAGAGTGATCAAACTACAAAACAAAAGCGCTTTGCGTTGTATTACTACTGTGTAGTCAGGACAAACAAACATCTGTTTCCATTCCTTTTTTTTTTTTTTTTTTTTTTTTCTTCTTTTATTTGGTTTGCTGCCGTTTGTCTGTGGTGATCAGGCGCATTAATTGGGAAATCAAGGATGTGTGTTTGGTACATAGGACTGTCTGTATAAGTGAACATTGTTTCCAATCGGATCAACCATTATAATATGATGAGAGTAATTTTACCTGTTTGCATAAGGAGTGACTTGGAAGAGAGATAAATTAGAAGAAAATAAGGAAAGAAAGAAAAATCCACGTGAGCGAGGTTCGCACCACAAATCCCGAAAAAAGCTTTGGAGAACGGACTGGAATCATCATCTCAACAATCAGGGCCGGTCCTAGAATTTCAGTGGCCTAAAGCATAATTTTAAAAGTATGGCTTTGAAAATAAAATAAAATAAACAAAAATTAATAACACAACAAAAAATGACAAAAAACCAACTATGGAGACTCGAAACTGGGAGGGATTGAGATAAATTAGAAGAAAATAAGGAAAGAAAGAAAAATCCACGTGAGCGAGGTTCGCACCACAAATCCCGAAAAAAGCTTTTGGAGAACGGACTGGAATCATCATCTCAACAATGTCCGTTACCAAGCTTCTCCTCTTCCTCTTGGTAGCTTGAGAGAAGCTCGATTTTGTCATCAATTTCGTCTTTAATGGCTTCTCCCTCCCTCATCCCCTCTTCTCTCTGCTTCGCTGCCGCTCCCGCTCCCGCCGCCGATGGTCCGCGTTCCCTCTCTTCTAATTTCGACGGCGGTACCAATCTCAGGTATCACAAGAGCTTCTTATCCCTTTCATCTTCTTCGCCTTATCGAAATCGACGGTGCCGTTCCCTCGTCGTGTTTGCTGCTTCCGGAGACTACTATGCTACTCTCGGTGTCCCTAAATCTGCCAATAACAAGGAGATTAAAGCCGCGTATCGACGCCTCGCTCGTCAGGTGTCCTTTCTCTTTCTCGTCATTCGTTTTTCTGCTTTGTGATTTTCTCGCTTATTATGACATTACACTGTTGCTTAATGATTTCCTGATCATGGAACTTCTCAACTGATTTTATGAAATCTAGTATCATCCTGATGTGAACAAGGAACCTGGCGCAACTGACAAGTTCAAGGAAATCAGTGCTGCCTATGAGGTATGCACCACAAGCTAAGGTCCTCTGTTCGATTCTCTTCATGCCATCTTCTCCTGCCCTATCACTATATTTTGGGTTTGCTTTTCTTGTTACCTGTTAGCTTGCATGATTACAAGGCCTTACTTTTTAACATTTGCTGCTACAATTATGTTGGGATATGTAATCGTGTAACATGAGTTCTCAGCTCTTTTAATTCCTTGTGGTTACTGAACTACAACACTGTCAGGTGCTATCAGATGAGCAAAAGCGAGCATTATATGATCAATATGGTGAAGCCGGAGTCAAGAGTACTGTAGGAGGAGCTTCTGGTACTTACACGGTAATACATTATCTATTTCTCTCTATGCTTAATCATGCGCATGACCCACAAATTTGTGCGTTTCTTCCCTTGCTGATGGATTAGCAGTTGAAACCTGATTTGAGATGTGCACTGGCCGTCAGTTCCTGTGCTTGTGCGATACTTGACCCTTGGCGTTAACTCTTACATTTCCATGCAGACAAATCCCTTTGACCTTTTCGAGACATTCTTTGGTGCGAGTATGGGTGGATTTCCCGGGGTGGACCAAGCTGATTTTGGGAGAACCCGCCGCAGTAGGGTTACCAAAGGTGAAGATTTACGGTGAGTTTTTATTTCTTCCTTATTCTCTGGTAGCACAGCATTCACTGTTTGCTGATAAGATACTACTATCTAATGATTAAAATTATTGTTAGTGTCTTCTATAACTTACCCTGTGTCCTGAAATTTTCTACTACCATGGGCTTGAATCAGTAAGCAGAGGAGGTTGTGTCGTATGTCCACTCGCTTGCTTTTTCTTTTGGAGTTTTTCCTTGCTCTTCATAACCTGCATAAGCTTTGAAAACACCAAAAATGAATTAAATTCATATTTGCTTCTATTGCGGTTTAGGTATGACATCACCTTAGAACTGTCGGAGGCTATTTTTGGATCTGAGAAAGAATTTGATCTTACGCATCTGGAGACATGCGAAGCTTGTGCTGGCACTGGGGCAAAAGCAGGATCCAAGATGCGAATATGCTCCACTTGTGGTGGGCGGGGTCAAGTTATGAGAACTGAGCAAACACCATTTGGGATGTTTTCACAGGTCCTTGCAGTTGATATTCTTTTCTTTCTGTCTGCTTTATCTCTGTTGCAGTTAATTCGAGTCTGATGTCAGAAATGGCTTCTGATTGGAGCGTCGGAATTGATGTTAATGTACAGTTTAGTCAAAATAATCTGTTTCGTGGTTAGTAGTAAATGCAGAAGTGAGAATTCGGTCAGAATTTGGTTAAATCCAGTTTGTGTTTTCTATTGATTGTGAAAGTTTGTTTTTGCTGGTAACAGTACCTCCCTATAGCTGAACTTATCAATAGTTTCCTATGTGTGTGGTCTCTTTCATCTTAGGTTTCTATATGTCCAAACTGTGGTGGAGATGGTGAGGTAATTTCTGAAAATTGCCGGAAATGCTCTGGAGAAGGACGCGTGCGTACAAAAAAAAGCATCAAAGTCAAAATTCCCCCGGGAGTTAGTGCAGGTAGCATCCTTAGAGTAGCCGGAGAAGGTGATTCTGGTCCCAGAGGGTATGTTGATAACATTATCGATTGATAAATTACCAGTAGAAAACCATTCTTTCTGTTATAGGAATCTTAATGGTTATGATTTTTGGTAATTGGACTTCTGCTTCCATTAGTGGCCCTCCAGGAGATTTGTACGTATATCTTGATGTTGAAGATGTCCGGGGAATACAAAGAGATGGCATAAACCTTTTATCTACCCTTTCGATCAGTTACCTTGATGCTATACTGGGTGCGGTTGTTAAGGTGATTTAGTTCTTTGTATCAGATATATTAGAAGTACACCCTACTTACATGTAGATATTCTCAGAATTTACCATTCATCTCATGATTAATCTTAAAACATCTTTGTAGGTGAAAACAGTTGAAGGAGACACTGAACTGCAGATACCTCCAGGTACACAACCTGGTGATGTGCTGGTCCTGGCAAAGAAAGGAGTACCAAAACTGAATAGACCATCTATCCGCGGTGACCACTTGTTTACAGTCAAAGTTTCTATACCAAATCAAATAAGGTAATACCGTCTAAACTTGTCTTGTGGCCAATTTAACTAAACCAAACAGAGTTTTGTGAGTCTGTGGATGCCTTCTTTCAATTAATTTCTGGATCCTACGGACAGTGCTGGAGAACGGGAGTTACTGGAGGAACTTGCATCTCTGAAGGACACGTCCAGCAACCGGTCACGAACTCGTGCTAAGCCTCAGCAACCCAGTTGTAAGTTGTCAGATCTCTGGAAAATCTCTAATGCAGAGGACTCTTTGTTTTTATGCCAATATTAATGGAACCTCTTGTAATTTTCTGTGCATCTGAATCGATGTGAGACTATTTGATACACGTATACATTGTTGAATCCCATCATACGTATGTCGTCTCTGATTTTTCAGCTCTGAGCAGTGCACCCAGTAGCTTAGAAAACAGGACAGATGAAGTTGAGGAAAATGAAGAAGCGGAGCAAGAAAACGACTTGTGGAAAAACATCAAAGATTTTGCAGGGTAATTCAATAAAAAAGATTTGTGCCCTTGATTTCTATTCTTCTGAAGTCATATAGTGAATCGTCCAGCTCTTGTTGTGTACTTAAAATGAGAAGCACAAAATGTCTTCTACTTAAACACAGTTGTGCTACTTATTTGTAGGTCTGTCGCAAATGGAGCTCTGAAATGGCTGAGAGATAACCTCTAGAGATCCATCTTCAACTAACTGGACATGCATTAAAGCTTTTATCCGCTGCATTTATGGTACCAATGTGGAAAAGTTAATTGTTTCATTTGTTAATGTGAGGGTGTTTTGCGAAAACAATACATTTTTTTTTTTGTTTTTTTGTGTTTCCTTTCAGTTTCAATTTGGTGCACATATTGTGAAAAGAGGGCGGTTCTGCTCTACCTGCCCCTACTCCATTTAATAGTAGAGATGCAATTGGTTTTTTCGAGTTGGTTTTGGTAAGAAATAAAAAGGTCGGAGAACTAAACGGCTCCAATTTATTTGATTGGTGTTTGTTGGAGGAAATGGTTGCGGAAGCCACATATGTTGATGGAACATGTGATGATCAAAGTCTCCAAGAAAGTTGTTTTTTTTTGTATACTTGTGACATGAAATTACAAAACCTCTCGAGTTATTTTTACGTACTACTTTTTTGAGCTAAATCAATGACTAGAAAGTCAATTAAGATCCAGCAGACGCAGGACATGCTATGTAACATTTCTAACAATTTGCATTCCCTTTTTCTTGTTGTGAATTTGCATTGGATAAGACGTGGGGGAGGGAGTATGTGACAGACGAGTAAAAAAGGAAAAAAGAAGAAGAAGACGGGAGATCCAAATCTATAAGGTAAATACCAAATTTGCCCTCTTAACCTCGCCGAAAAGAAAAAAAGCTCAAAACCCTAGCCGTAATACTAAAGGTCCAAACAAAAGACAAGAAGCAGAGAAGAGTTTGCTCTCTCTCGAGAATCTTTATTTGTTTTTAGGGTTTCGATCAAAAAGAAAGAAAGAAAGAGCGCAGAAAGAGCCCATTAGCCTCGTCTCGTCTCCTTCCTCTCTCTCTCTCTCTCTCTTTTTTTGTTTTTTCAAAGTTTCGCTATTTCGCCTCGATTCGCGCTTATCGTTCCCGCCGCTACAATCTGTGAGTCCTCTAATCTCTCTCTCTCTCTCAAGGGAGCAGTGCTCCTCCATCTCAGATCTCACTCGATTTTACTGTGCTTTTCCAGATCTCTCTCTCCTCCAATTCCTGCTGTCTGCTTCTGCTGAGATCGGTATTAAACAGATCTCTTCTTAAGCCCTTTCTTTCTTTCCTTGTCTTAATCTGTTGTTCTCTTGTATATTTGTGTCCAAATTGTCTCCAATTCTTCTCTTCTGATAGAATTCTTGCTGATTCTATCTTTCTTCTCTGGTGCGGTGCAGGACTTTTCTCTCTACCAAGGATATTGTTATGGATAATAATTCCTTGATGCTCATTGATAACAATGGCTCTTTTGAGATTGATGACCAATCCCATGCTTCCTTGACTTTGTTCACTCCCACTAGGCCCACTGAGGATCTGCCTAATGCCGACACTGACGATGGCTTGCTCCCTGATCCTGCCACTCTACCCACCAAGCGCAGGAGGAAGAAGTCTATGGTCTGGGAGCACTTCACCATTGAAACTTCCAGCCCTGGATCTACCAAAGCTTGCTGCAAGCACTGCCGCAAATCTTTCGCCTACATTACTGGCCAAAAGTTGGCAGGAACTAGCCATCTTAAGCGTCACATTCAGTTGGGTATTTGTCCTATGAGCCGAGACACCAGCACCCATGCACAGATCCTTGGCTCCAAAGATCCCACCACTGCTCCTCCCAAAAAACGCCACAGATCTTCTGCTTCCTACATCCCTCTAGATCAAGATCGTTGCTACAATCAGATGGCAAAGATGATTATCATGCATGATTATCCCCTTCACATGGTCGAGCATTCTGGATTTACTGGTTTCGTCCAGGCCCTTCGTCCCCAGTTCACTATGGCAAGCTTCAATACCATTCATGCTGATTGTGTCAATATGTACCTGTCCGAGAAGCACAAGCTTTCAAACTTCATCAGTGAGATTCCTGGCCGAGTTAACCTTACCGTTGATCTCTGGACCTCTAATCAATCAGTGGGTTATGCCTTTGTGACCGGACACTTCATTGATAGGGACTGGAATCTATCTCACAGGCTTCTAAATGTTGCTGTCGTTCCTTCTCCCGATTCAGATTTTGCTCTAAATCAGCCTATTGCTGCTTGTTTATCCGACTGGAATCTGGAGAGAAGACTCTCCAGCCTCACTGTTGGGCAGTCACTAGTAAATAAAACCTCTATTGAAAACCTCAGATGCTGTTTGTCTGCCAGGAACCAGAATGTATTGAATGGTCAGTTGTTGTTGGGTAATTGCTATGCTCGCCTCCTAAGCAGTATGGCGCAAGATCTCCTTGGAGCTGAGGATTTTAAAACACCCATCAAAAAAGTCCGTGATAGCGTGAAGTATGTGAAAACCAAAGATAGTTGCGAAGAGAGGTTTGATGAACTGAAGAGACAACTTCAAACCCCTTTTACCAAAGATCTTCTCATTGACAACCAAACGAAATGGGACACAAGTTACAACATGTTATTGGCTGCCTGTGAACACAAAGAGGTGTTTTCTTGTTTGGGAAACTGCGATCTTGATTACAAAATGTCAACATCTCCTGAAGAATGGAGAAAGATTGAGATCCTTTGCTCATGCTTGAAGATTCTTTTTGACGCCGCCAATGTTTTGACTGGCTCAACTCGATTGACAGCAAACGATTTGTACCATGAAATGACAAAGCTTCAGCTAGAGCTAAGCCACTCAGCCATGAGTGAAGATCCAGATGTCAGAAACCTGGCGAACCCACTGAAAGAGAAGTTTGACGAGTACTGGAGAGAATGTTTCCTGCTTTTGGCAGTTGCTGTGGTGATGGATCCGCGCTTCAAAATGAAGCTTATTGAGTTTAGTTTCTCTAAGGCTTATGGGGAAGATGCAGATAAATGGATCAGGAGTGTTGATGATGCTGTACATGAGCTGTACCATGACTATGCTGAACAGAGTCACTCCCTGCTAGATGCTTATGTAGGCCACGGGAATGATGGCTTTTCTGAAACAGATATGTCTCAAGTTCACTTCCATCATGAAATGCCTCATGAATACCACAACTCAAATGGGCTTTCACATGATCAAATATTTGAACAGCCTGAAGATGAAAGTCTACTGAATGAAAAATCTTTGGAGGGACTATCTGGAGAAGGTCAGCAAACGGGGACAGTATCGGTGGGAGGCAATACCACACAGGGAGTAGAACAAAAAGGCCATTTGGGCGATGCCGGTACACAGAAGAACCATATCGTGGAAGGGCTGTCGGAAGAGAGCAAACCAATGGAGGGATTGACACAAGAGTCTCTTCTGACAGAAGGAAATCTGCAATCCAATGGGGAGCTAACTCCGGCACAGGAGAGCCGGCTAACAGATGAGACATCCCATGAGAACCAGGCAATGGAGGAAACACACGCGAACCAGTCAGCTGAGGAGATGTCCCATGAGACCCAGCTAATTGAGGAATTTCCATGTGAGAGCCAGCCTTCTGAGGACGTACCCCTTCAGAGCCAGCCAGTGGAAGAGATACCACAGGAGAGTCAGCTAGTGGAGGATACAGATATGAACCAAGACAGCCAGTCGGGGGAAGGATATGTACCGGAGACACAGCCAATGGAGGAAATCGTTGAAGACACTCAACCTGTTGAAGAAGTGGTGCAGGAAGAAACATCACAGATGAGCCGGCCAGTGGAGGATATACCACCTGAGAGCCATCCCATTGAGGAAATACGGCTGGAAAACCAGCAAGTGGACGATAAGGATATAACCCATGACATACAGCCGGTCGAGGAAATGCTCGAGGACACTCAACCAGTTGAGGAAGTGGATCAGGAGGCACAACAGGTGGAGAAGCATGATGACATTCAGTCTGTTGAGGAACTAGGACATGAGATACAGCCGGAGGCAGAATTGCTGGAGGACACTCAACCAGTTGAGGAAGTGGCTCAGGAGGCAGAACTGTTGGAGGAAAATCATGATGATATTCAGCCAGTTGAGGAAGCAGGACATGGGACTCAGCCAGTTGAGGAAGTGGCTCATGAGGCTCAGCCAGTGGAGCAAATTCCCGAACACAGCCAAAACCCACAAAACGCTGATGGTATTCTCAGCCAAGAATATTCTCGTGAAGGTAAATCTGTACAAGAAGAGCAGCAATCAGATGAGGGCATAGCCTCAGACCAACATCCTCAATCACATGCAATGCCACAGGAAGAAGAGGCACAACATGATTCTCAGTCACATGCAACGCCACAAGAAGAAGCCACATTTACAATCTCTCAAGAAGGTCACCAAGTTGACGTCCTTCTCCAGGAAGGCCACCACCTTGAAGCATCTTCACAGGAGTTTCCCCTCATTACCATTGGAGATGGGTTCTCAGACTTTGAGCTTTACATCTCCGAGGTAGGCAGTCACCAACAGATGAAATCAGAACTAGACCAATACCTGGAGGAATCTCTAATACCGCGATCACAGGATTTTGAGGTTCTAGGCTGGTGGAGCCTGAACCGAACCAAATACCCAACCCTGTCCAAAATGGCGGCTGATGTTTTGTCACTACCCTTTTGCACTGTCTCTCCAGATTCTGTTTTTGACACGGAGGTGAAAAAGATGGATAATTACAGGAGCTCCCTTCGACATGTGACCTTGGAAGCTCTCTTCTGCGCAAAGGACTGGTTCAAGCACAGCTCCAACTCAGAAAACAACCTGAAGAGGGAGTCTTGAGTTGTCCTTATCATTCCTTGTCCTTAGATTTACTTTTAGCTTTTCCATATTTTGCTTTGGTCACTGTAGGCTAATCTGGATTTTTAGCCTTGTGCTTGCTTATGCTTTTTTTTGTTTTTACCATATGTCTCTCTTTGGGGGTTGTTTATGTATGTTGTGATTGATGCTGATATGATGATTTGATGTTACAATTTGGCATCGTAGAAATTATATTACATTATATGTCTCTCAATCTCTTCTAAGTCAGAATTTCTAGTGAAATATTCATAAGTTTCTCTTCTGTTGTTTGCATGTTGCTTGTTCAGTTTTGTTCGCCCACCATAATCAACATATATTTAATCATAATCTATTATTATTAAGGTTTAAACATATATAATAATTCAATTATAAATAAAGTATAAACGTACATAATTTAGTCAAAGCCGGTTGGTTTTTTCCTCATACTAAAAACTTCCCTCACGCGCCCAAACTTTTAATTTTGCCAAAAACAGCAATTTTAGCAGGTTTTAGTCCACAGATTTTGTGGATGTGGCGTCGACGCGCTTATTGTGCGAGTGGGTAAGATACTTGAATTTCGCAGTTACGTTTTGGGCTGACGTTTATACTGCCCACTGGGCTACACAAGAAGACGCTCAGTTATATACAATCATAGGCCTCCATAATCGAAAAAGCCCAATTGAATAGAAAACCATCATAGGGCCAAAATAATTTCATATGTACAAGAAGTTTTGAAAATGTCATAAATTTAGGAACCTGTAAAAAGTAACCACAATTTGTTCACTGGGATCTATTACAACAGTACAAGATTTGCTTTAATCCATCCTAATTACTGGTAGAACCCTGTATAATATGATTATAGATTCTAATCATCTCGTACAACGACAGTGGTAAGTAAGTATCTAAGAAGGCTTCTCTGTCACAAATTGGACCTTATTAGCACACTCTTTAAACGCTTCCCAGGCAGCTCTGCAATGCTCTTTCGATCTCATCCCTTGTTCGACAACCTGCATCGCTCTTCTGTGCAAATGCTCATACCATTGATCCGGATTCATTATGTCCACACGACCTGACCCAAATTCCGCCACATAGAGACGTTTCACGTCCTTCCGCCACCGTTGCAGTATATACTGAGGCGGGACTTCCTGCAAGCCGTTGTGGCTGAGTAGTAGGAGCACATGCCTGCATTGGTAGCCATTGAAGCTGAAACCACCACAGACACAGAAGCAACGTACTTGTGCTGCTGCACTTGTCTCGTAGATGACCTCAAAGTCTCTCACTTTCTCTCCCTCCCTCTCTTTCACCACGTACGAGGAGGCCGACCCGTTTGAGTGGACTTGCGTTACTCCAAAACATGAAGACATTGCCGAGACCTCGTCTTGGAACCTTCTAAATATCTGCATTGTGAAGACCTTTGCCATCTGAGACTCGTAGGGGTGAGTTGTTTTGAGCTCGGGGATTGACTTTAAGGACTCTGAATCGCACAAGGCTTCTCTTGTGTACTTTTGATCCAGAAAAGATTCGTACCCTTCAAGGAATTCTCTAAGGGATGTGTTCTCATGAACATAGCCACTGAAGATGAACGGGGCTGCCACATTTCCCAGTGGAAAAGTCAGCGCCCCGGCCAAAAATGTATCCTTGAGGTAAACTGGAGCCCACAGTTCTCGATCTTGAAACATGTGCTGGATGGTCTCGTTATTTGTCAGCCCAAACCGAATGATCATCTCTTCCCAAGCTATTTCAAATTCTTCGACCTTGAGACAACCGTAGACTACTCTGTTCAGTGCCATACGGAACAAGTCAGAATCTTGAAGTTGGACAACGCTGTGAAAGATGTTGTGCAAGACGTGGGTCAAGCTAAGACGATGATGAGCCCTTGGAAAAACTTCAGAGACTGCGGTCCGCATTGCCTTGCACTGTTGTGTGATGAAGGTCTGGGGGGGACGGCCTAACATGCAGGTTAGCCACGCTCTGAAGAGCCAGACATAGGTGTCAAAGCTCTGGTCAGCAACCAAACCACAGCCGAGCAAGATTGTATCTCCATGGTGGTTAATTCCAACAAAGGCGACAAGGGGAAGGTCGTATGCGTTGGATAAGCATGTGGTGTCGAACAGAAGAAGGTCGCCAAAGTGAGAGTATGCAGCCCTAGCACGAGCGTCGATCCAGAAGACATTCCTGAGACAGCCGTCATCGGCAAGATCCATGAGGTAAAGAAAGTTGGGGCTGGTAAGCTGAATTTGGAAGAAGAAATCCTGCAGGGCCCTAAAACCTCCTCTGAGCTCCAAACGCCTAGAAGATTGGAAGAGAGGATGGGTGGGTGGAGTGTGAAGGGAAAGGGTTCGATACAATCTGATGGTCCGGACTTGGACATGGAGAGGTGGTTGGGGTAGTGTCGTCTTAGTTGCAGCAGAGGAGGATTTCTTGTGGGCTCGGTGAGGATCAAAGGAGTGGTTGTGGTGGAGGTAGACTTGATCAACTTTCCATCTATCGAATTGGATAAGACGAAGGCGAATCATGGCCTGGCAACCGGTTCGGGTGTCCTTACGGCGGGAGGAAGCATCCTTAAGCAACTTGAAACCTTGGCAGTTGCAACACAAGACAGCACCACGTTTCTCCTTGCTGTTGCGCTTAGTCCAAGAAGATTTGACGCGGATAGCAAAACCGAGAGCACGGGCGTACGAGTTGTAGAAACTGTAAGCATCATCGTAGGAGTCGAATTCCATTCCAGGAGCAGGGGGAGCCATGAAACACTTTTCGTCGCGTCGAGTTTCTTCTTCTTCTTCTTCTTCAAGGTCAATATCGAGATCAGGGGTGTCGTCGATTGGAGGAAGGTCATCATCGTCATCATCTACAACCAGCTGCTCGCTGCTCTGAGACCCATCTTCCATCTGAAGACCAAATTCAAACAAGGAGAACAAATTGAAATCGGAAACCCAAATTGATTGATGAAAGAGAGGAAGAAGAGGAACCAACCGAGATGCAGAGATGATTAGGGTTGGGAGAGAGAGAGAAAACGCTATTGCCTTTGCCGCCCATCATCTTCCTGACCTGACTCGAAACAATGGCTGGAAAGTCTCTTTGTGCAACCGGACTCTCTCTTCTTTATTTCTCCCTTTTCGTTTACTTCTTCTTCTTCTTCTTCTATACACTTGTTTTCTGTATCTAAACCGATTTTAGTTTTCTAGTTTACTATTTTACATATATATGGTAACAATCAATCATCAATTACTATCATCACTATCATCATAGAGGAATCGGCTGACCACCACATCTTTTTCTTTAAGTAGCCAACCCCCTCGAGAAGTAACTAACTATCATCAAAACCCTCAAATTGGGCAATTGTAGTCAAGTGTGGAACTTCACATAGGCCACAATGCCTTTGATAAACAAGTTGAAAGGCAAAAACAAAATAACACATTACAATTATCAAAAATAATGAGGAACCCAAAAGAATAAAAATTACAGATGAAGGAAGCCCCAAGCTCAAGCTCAAGCTCTAGCTCTCACAAGAACATAAAACACAACTCTTTTTTAATTGCACAACAACCTCCTGAAAACAAAACAACACACACACGTTCAAAACCAATTGGGATAAACAAAGCCTTTCATATTTTTATCCTCAATTCTCAATTGCCTACCTAATAAAAATAGGCAACAATAGCAGCCCAACCTGCTCCTTAAAGCAGGCAGCTTGGAGAAGCACCAGGGGCCTGCTGCTAAGGAGCTTCTCTCTCACCCTCCTTTCACTCCACTTATTCAAGCTAGACGACCTTCCTTTGCACTCTTCTTTACTCACTTGCTAAAGCTCATCTCCGAGTATCTGCATCAACATGTGCAGGGTTAGTGTGTCCTTATTTAACATTTCTTTTTTTCACAATACATATATGGTACCCAAATACTCCTGTAATACTTTTTAATGCATGCACCCTAATTCAAGGTGGTTTCATGTCAAAAGTAAGATCAACTGAAAAACAAATTATACGCACCTACGAGGCTGCTTGTTTTGGTTGCTATTTGGCCCTTGGGAATTCCCATTGTTTGTAACCTCTACATCAATAAACCCCAAAACAGTCAGTCACTCAATGTAATCATTCAAATTTCTTACTCGCCAAACACACAACAAAATCTTCTGAATCCATGATAACAACCCCATTTGACTGGCAAGAGTTATTACTTTGATAAACAATGCTCGAGGAACCATATCCAACATATTCTTTTCTTTAGTTACTAATCACATCAGGGTAAATAATCTTTCATATGTCCTCATAAGATCAACTACAACAGATGCTTCCCCTACTAAACAAGATGCCGCAAACAGCTAATGTTAAAGCACTGGTCTCAGACCATAATGGTAAGGAAACGACTTACCAGGTCTATCCATGGGCTCTTCATCATTAGGATTATTCGAACTGTTCTCATAGCTGCAAAAATGTAAGGTAATTGGGTAAGTGAGCTGAAATTAAATGCTTCATTAGACGCTCATAATCAGAGAAGATTAACATTGTTATATGAGTGCCCAACCAAGAAAGTGAGTCTGCTTAATGAACGCTACATGTTTCTGGGTGTACATAGTCGACAAACTACTAATCGAACACTTAAGAAATGTAAATCTAACGGGTAAACAAGCCTTTAGCAGTGGGTCTAGAATAAGAGAAACCACATATCTAAAATCTCACACACGGTTACTTTAGTTAAAGCTGCATTCCCATACTACTCTTCCTCTAAGGTAAAAAGCTAAGAGTAACCACATATGCATATGGAAATGGCATGTTGATTAACAATACTAAGAAAATGAAGAAAACTATTTTTATAAACCTGGAGGATCCCGCAGAGGAAGGTAACCCTGGTTTGTGTGCTTGGTAAGAACCATCAAGGGCAGCATAAGGTGGACAATATGAACCCCCTAATGCTCCGGGGCCAGCCAAAATTGGCAGCCTGTCAATAATAGCAGTAATAAGGACCTACTAAAGATAGAGAGCTAGGGAAATCAAACAAACAAAAAACAACAAACAGCAGACGAGTGAAAGCAATAATTTTGGTTCTGTCTGGGCCACTAAAAGACTAATCAGATTTAAAATCCTCTCAGATTACAAAGACGTAAAGCAAGTCAACTAAGAGCGCACCAAATATATAACTTTTAAAATATGTAAAGCTGTGGAAACTCAATATTACACAACAAAAGGGAAGGACTGCATACCATGTCATCTCAGGATTTCCGGTACCGTGTTCTGGTTGGACATATCCTGGAAGAGCCATTCCAAAGGTGGGAACCCCGCCGTGCTGACCACTGAATTGCATAACTGAACATGAAAATGAAAACAAAAAAGTTGAAACTAGTGAGGCATGCATATTAGCACCAGTACATACAAAAGGTGCTGATCTCCAGCTTTCAATTTCACTAACATGCATGAATTGATTCTGAAAGATGTCTTTTAACCATTACAATGTAGGATGAACACTTTGTCATTCAAGAACAACTTACCAGGCAGAAAAGCAGGGAAATTTGGATTGCCATGACCAGCTGCCATCCCGGCAGGCCCCATAAACTGTGTCCCTCCATACATCAAAGATCCCCTTCCAGTAGGCTGGACTGACCCTTTTCCCTTGGCAACCAGAGCACCTGTTTCTGCGGCCGACTCTATTTCACCAGAAAGATACTGGTTTTTTGATGATCCGGTTTTTGGTGGAGAAGAAGGCAGCAAACTGAAAACAGCCGAATGTTGATCAAAAGCCTGACCAGGAAGTTGAGTACAGCTTTGGTCAGTGCCTTTTGGCATTCCCCGGATTTGCATTGGCGGAGAAACTTTGTCACCTTGATTAGGAGATTGCTGGTAAAGCACTTGCTCACGAGGAGGTGCACCTCTACCATGACTTGTAGTCTGAGAAGGTTGAGCAGTGGGTACCCACAAAGAGCTGGATTTTGTATTCCCAAACTTCTTTCCAGTCGGAGTAGGGTTTTCACTAATGTGCAGTCTACCCATGCCAGCTTGTACATCCTTTTGTGTCAAGTTATTGGAGGATCCTGAAGGATAAAACGGAGGAGAAGCTGAATTTAAACTTGAAGCTAATACATTCTTTTTGGCTTGGATGGCTTCAGTCTCTATGCTAGCTATTTCTGTTGGTGGACGCCCTGAATTAACGTGCGACACTTTCACAAACGAATTTTGGGACCTAATGATTCAGTAGACGAGACACAATAATTAGAGAGATAAAGCCTTCATGTGTTGACTAGAGAGGAAACAAAAATTAAAGACTCACCGTTTGGTTTGCACAGAAGGTGCTTGATTCCCATTTCTCAATGCAACCTCATATCTTCTGGGGCCCCTCCCTCTCGTGACAGCCTTAGGAAGCTGATTTTGGTGTCCATTGCCAGTAAATTCTTTAGAATTGTTCCCTCGAGAATGTCCACGATCCTGACCCCTACCCTGACCACGACCTCTGCCTCGGCCTCTCGAAGTCTGCCTCTATGTTCACAAGTTTTATCAATCAGCAATTAAAAGGAAAGAAAGAAAAGAGGTGGCAAATGTATAAACACCGCAAGAGGAAACAAGTCAATGAATACAAATGTATTTATGCAGAGGAGAGAGGATCTAAGATAACTAACATCATATTGGTTTTCCGGTGTATTCATTTCTTCGTATTTGTCATGTCCCCACTTTCTTTCATCTCTGGATTGCCAGAGCCTCCTACCACCACGCATTCGCCTACAGAAACGAAACGAAACGCTATATCAGTTGGCATAACCATGTAACTAACTAAACAGAATGTTGAATGAAAGTGCTTGTGAGAATCTCGGCTAGATTCATACATAGGGATTGACAATCAAAGGTAAACATAAGATTAACAAAGCAACAGCAGTTGTTCCAATCGATTTGAACTACATGATGACGGAAAGTTCCAATCGATTTAGTAACTTGAGCTATCAATATAGTGTTCCTCCATAGAATGATAGTAAAAAGTAGTTAACCTATTAGAGGCGGCATCAATTTCCTGAAATCTGTTATCATGCATATAGAAAGCTCCAGCAGTTGGCACTGCGAAAGGTTCCTTCTTCTTATGGTGCTCTCCATCCACAAGAGCAGGGGCAGAGTCCTCCTCGGTGCCAACATGTCCATCGTGATCGTGATCATAAGTATCATCATCCTCCTCATCATCATCGACAACAGCAGCACTGTGTAGATCGGCTCGCAGCTTATCATGGTCCCTATCATGGTGGTCCTCATCATCGCTGGCTTCTCTCCTCCGGGTAGCCAAGGAGCGATTCAATTCGTCGGGATCACTCTCGTAGTCGGGGGGGTCTTCAACGCCAACAGGGGCCATCAGTGAACCGGAGAGGCAAACACAAACCCTAGAAGAGGAAGAGATTGAAAAAAAGCGAGAGGAGAATCTCTCTCTCAGGGTCTGCTGCGAGGACAGATCCGCAGAGAATAATTCTTTTAAAAAAAGAAAAGAAAAGAAAAGAAAAAACCCTCTAAATAATCCAAAATAGGATTTTGATTGTTCGTAGACAGCGCTGGCTTTTTCCTATATTTTCGGAATTATCCTACTTAAATGCTACAGTACTTACTAATGGAGGACATACATATTATTAGCTCAACCTACTTATCACTTTTTCCTCCCAACTATTAATCCCCCTGACAAAAGTGACCATGTTAATCAGTAGTTCTAAATATCAACATTTCCTTTACCATCATAGGAGATGTCTATAACCTACCTGATCAACTTAATAATAATAATTAAACATGTGGTTTGTTTCTTTATTAACGCACGCAGGGTCAACAACTGGAATATCAATCAAAACCGGACACTTTTGCTATTAGTCTTCAACATACCTCGCTTAAGTAAACAATTTGCAGTGAGAAGAAGCAACGAGAAAAGAAGAAAAACAAAAAAAAAAAACAACAAGAAAATTTGAAAAGTATCTCCAAGACAAATCGGTAGAACAAGCATGATAGTGATGGTGATGACCGGAAAGCGAAGCCAAGACAGTGGAAGAATGCAAAAAACTACTATATGTTAATTGCGTTTTTGCTACTGATTGTCAAAATAAAATAAAATAATAACTGTTACTGAGTTTTGCAAACTAAGATATCAACTTTAACCTGCTCAGATTTGAATCTAAAGTCAAAAACATATATCATATGGGATAAAAATTTCAGTTGGAAACAGATATATTCTACAGGTGAAATCTCTCATCAGATGATAGATCAGTTTTTAACAATGGAAACTAATCTCTCTCTCTGTGCTGCCTCATTTCTCTGTTGAATGTATCCAAGTTTCAAAGCCAAGAATATATATATTATATATGTATGTCTTCTCACCAACCCTACTCCTGTGGCGGTGTTAGAACTGTACAACAAACAATGATTTTATCAGTCCACAGATTTTAAAAAAAAAAAAAAAAAAAAAAAAAAAAGAGTAAATGGATTTGAGATGCACTAACTAAAGACATTCAACATCAAAAATATAAGATGATCAGTGAAAAGAAGATGGGAGACAGACAGATGAGGAAACATTGATGCACAGATGCAAACACAAAGCCTTATGATATATGTCTCATGTGTGCAGATGGCCAAGGAACCTAACGACCTAAGAATATAATTACTGAAAGATGCTTTCCTGCAGCTGCATCTTAGAATCAATTAATATCCACAAATGCTATAAGGCTGATGCGGTTCCTTCATTAATCTTACCCCACTGTTCTTCAGACTCGTTCCCATTAACTAGCACAGCACCATCCGTAGAGTCAGCGTCCACCACTACGGCCTCTTCTTCCACATTCTGTTGCCTC